AAAAAAAAAAAAAGAAAAAAGAGCTGTGTGTGGGCTGAGGGTCCCCGGGGGTGGTGGGGGCTCTTGGTGGGGGCAGCAGGCAGGAGGACCTGTAGATGGCGCTGAGGGGGCTGCCCCGCGGGAAGATGAATAAGGGCTAGCTGGAGCTGGAGAGTGACCTGGGCCACTTCACCATACCGGTGGAAGATTTTGGCGTCAAAGGGGTACAAATAGAGGAGATCTACGACCTTCAGAGCAAATGCCGGGGCCCTATGTATGGATTTATCCTTCTGTTCAAATGGATCAAAGAGCGCCGGTCCCCGTGAAAGGTCTTTACATTAGTGGATGATACGTCCATCATTGATGATGATATCGTGAATAATGTTCTTTGCCCACCAGCTGATACCAAACTCTTGTACCACTCACGCCTTGCTGAGCGTGCTCCTGAACTGCAGCAACCTGGACATGGGACCCTCCCTGAGGCGCATGAAAGGCTTCACCAAAGGCTTCAGCCCTGAGAGCAAAGGATATGCACTTGATAATGCCCCAGGGTTAGCCAAGGCACATGATAGTCATACCAGGCCCCAGTCCGTGCCACCTCCCTGAGAAGCAGAATGGCCTTAGTGCAATGAAGACCATGGAGCCGTTCCACTTTGTCAGCCATGTGCCTAGCACAGGCCGGCTCTTTGAGCTGGATGGGCTGAAGTTCTACCCCATTGACCACGGGCCTTGGGGGGAGGATGAGGAGTGAACAGACAAGGCCTGGAAGGTCATCATGGCGCGTATCAGCCTTGCCACGGCAGGGGAGCCCTACCACGACACCATCCACTTCAACCTGATGGCAGTGGTGCCAACCACAGGATCAAATATGAGGCCAGGCTGCGGGTGCTGAAGGTGAACCACAGACAGTACTAGAGACTCTGCAGCAGCTGATAAGACTGACACAGCCAGAGCCAATTCAGACCCACAGGTCTCAAGAGTCACAGCTGCCTGAGGAGTCCAAGCCAGCCAGCAACAAGTCCCTGCTGGTGCTCAAGGCAAACAGGGCCCCTGCAGCCTCTGAGGGCACCCTCACAGATGGTGCAGGGGAGGCGGCTGCTTCATGTGCACAATCCCCAACCCACAGTTCTCCCAGCAAACACAAGATGGTGGTGAAGTCTCCAGGCAGCAGCCTCAGTGGGATTGGGTTTCCCCCAACCCCACTCCCATTGTCCAGCTGCTGCCAGCTTTTCTAGACAATCGTAAGTATGCCATGTCCCCCATGCAGGAGGAAGACCTGGCAGCAGGTGGGGGCCACAGTGGATTTCCAGTCCGCCCACCCCAGCAGTACTCACATGACGAGGATGACTGTGAGGATGATTGGGAGGATGACGTGCAGAGCCCCAACTCTGCCATTAGGTATAAGTGGAAGGGAACAGGGAAGCCAGGGGCACTGAGCCGTTCTGCTGAAGGGCAGCTGTCAGTGTTGCAGCTCAACACCATTAGCATCTTGGCCGAGAATCTCAAAGAGCCCCAGCAGGACCTCTCAATTCCTCTGTCCATCAAGACTAGCAGCGGGGCTGGGAGTCCAGCAGTGGCAGTGCCCACACACTTGCAGCCCTCACCCACCCCCAGCAATAAGAGTTTGGACACAGCCTCCGAGATTGGCAGTGCTTCCAACTCACCACTGCACTCGCCCATCCACTCGGCCAACCTGACACGGGCCTCCAGCCCTGTCACCTCCCACATCTCCAAGGTGCTTTTTGGAGAGGATGACAGCCTGCTGCATGTTGACTGCATAGGCTACAGCCGTGCTGTCTGCAGTCTGGGTCCTGTCATCAGCACAGGCCTCTTGCACCTGGCTGGGGTGGGTGCTGAGTTTCCTGTCACTGGCAGAGGGTGGGAAGAGTTCCTCATCCTCCATCAGACCGATCCACGGCAGCCAGCAGTCTAGCAGCCCAGTGGAGAAGGAAATCGTGGAAGCCACGGACGGCAGAGAGAAGACAGGGCTGGTGAGGCCTGGAGAGCCCTGGGTGGGGAGAAGTACTCACTCACAGAGCTGCTGGCACTGCTGAAGTGTGTGGAGGCTGAGATTGCAAACTATGAGGCGTGCCTCAAAGAAGAGGTGGAGAAGAGGAAGAAGCTCAAGACTGATGACCAGAGAAGGACCCACGACTACGATGAGTCCATCTGTACCTTCATCTCCATGCTGGCCCAGGAAGGCATGCTTGCCAACCTAGTGGAGCAGAACATCTAGGTGCAGCGGTGCCAAGGGGTCAGCATCAGCCAGCTCCACAAGCAGCAGAAGCCTGACCCGCAGAAAAGCTCTCGTTCCTACAAAGCCAAGCACCAGGGAGGACTGCTGGCCCTGACTGCAGCCCACTCTTGCCACGTGGCCCGCACCAGGGTCCCTCCCTGTTCCACTTCCCCTTTTCCTAGTACTACTGAATAGTTCCAGCCAGAGAGCCCAGGCCCGGGGAATGGGAGGAACCAAGACAGATTCTCTGCACAGTGCCCTGAGGCCTGGCACAGGGCAGATCAGCCCCATTGTGCTCAGGAGGCAGCATCTGGAGTTGGGGCACAGCGGGGTACTGCAGCTTCCTCCAGAGTCAGCTGTGGAGCAGCAGGACCTGGCCCTTCTGCCTGGACAGCAGAATATACATTTTACCTACCAGAGACATCTATTTTTCTGGGCTCCAACACATCTTGCCACCATAGGTTCCTTCCTGACTGTGCTTTCTCTCCTAGCGGCTGTCCTGGTGGGCCCAGGTCCTTGTATCATGCCAGGGTCACAACTACAGGGTCCCAGCTGGGGTCCTGGGTGGGCACCGGGCCTTGCTGTCCTAGCCCCAGCCACCAGCCTGTCCCTGTTGTAAGGAAGACAAGCCTACTCTTCATCCCTCTTAGGAGAGTGCCAAACACAGGGGCCCAGGACTGGGCTGGGTTGGGGATGGGGTGTCCCAGTGGGGGTTGGGCGAGCAGCCTGCTGGGATCCCATGGCCTGAGTGGAACATGTGGGAACTGTTCAGCACCCTGTGAACTGTCTTCCTTATTCTAGCCAGGCTGCTAGTGGGCTATTCTAGCCAGTGGGCTCTCCACAGCAAGGTTCTGGGGCTCTTTGCCTTCAGTGTTGTGGCCCTAGCTATGGGCCTAACTTGGGCTCCAGGTCTCTGTCCCTGGAGCCAGGGGCTCAGAGGAGCCTCTGCCCAGCCCCTCAATATTACCATGTCTCCCTCCTCTTAGGGGTAGCAGAGACAGGGCTGCTTATAGGACGTTTGCACCACTCAGCTCTCCCTGCTACTCCAGCTTCCTCCCTCTGCAAGGCACTCAGGATGGGGGACAGCAGGATCAAGACAACCAGTTGGAGCCCCTGTGTTCCAGAGGGCCTGATGCCAATGGGTAATGGGTCCAGCACTGCCTCTGGAGCCCAGGCCCCAACACAGCCCCATGGCCTCTGCCAGATGGCTTTGAAGGTGATCTAAGCAGGCCCCTTATCTGTACACAGTGACTGAGTAGGGGTTGCTGGCAGGTGTGGCAGCTGCCTCTGGGCTGAGCACAGCATGACCCCTCTAGTCCCTATAAATACTGGATCAATGAATGAATAAAACTCTCCTAAGAATCTCCTGATGAAAAAAGAAAAATTAGCTGGGCATGTTGGCACACGCCTGTAGTCCCAACTACAGGGGGTCTGAGCAAGGAGGATCACTTGAGCTCGGGAGGTGGAGGCTGCAGTAAGCTGTGTTTGCACCACTGCACTCCAGCCTGGGTGACAAAGCAAGACTCTGTCTCAAACAACAACAACAAAAAGCTTTCTAGAACATTTCCAATCTACTGCAAACTTCTTTTTGGTTACACCATGTATTATTCCAGTTATAAGAATGTAAAAAGTGGCAACTCTGGAGCTAGGCTATCTGGGCAAATGACCTCCAGCAAGGCCTTTAAACTTCTCTGTGCCTCAGTTTCCTCATCTGCAAAATAAGGATTAAAATTCTTCAAAAGGTTGTTGTAGGATTGAAATGAGTTAGTTTACGTAAAAGTGAACCTGGCATATAGCGTAAGTACTTTCTAAGTGTTTGCAGTCAATAAGTAATAAATCATAGAATACTAAAAGTGGTACAAATATTAGAGATTTATTATTACAAGTTGGTAGTTCCAGGGTTAGTCCTGTCAACTAACCAAGGCTTCCCAGACCAGACTCTTCCTGTACCCACTGCCACGCTCAGTGTGGCAGTGCCTTCTCCCCTCATCATGGCAGGGAGGCTGCCATAGCCTAAGGACCAAGTTCTCACATCATCAGCATCCAAAGCATGAAATAAGGGGACATGGGCAAAAGTGTTTTTCTCCTTGTGCAGCCTTCTCTTTACAAGCAGGAAAATATCTCCTAGAAGCCCCTAGTAGGTTTCCTTTCAGCTAAAACTGGGTCACAGGCTCATCCCTGAACCTGGAACCTCCTACCTGTAACAAATGAGGCAGAGGTGGGACTGGGGCTGGCTGCTGGGTAGGTGACCAGTAGTGCCCAACACAGTGTGGGAGCCAAAGAGTTCCGAACGTCCCTCACTCAGGCCAGGGGTAATTGAGAAACAAGCTCATAGCAGTACTCATCCAGGAGTCCTCAGGTTTTTTAAGAGCAGCTTTTTTTTTTTCTTGAGATGGGCTCTTGCTCTGTTGGTCAGGCTTGAGTGCAGTGGCATGATCATGGTTCACTGCAGCCTTGACCTCCTGGGTTCAAGTGATCCTCCCACCTCAGTCTCCCAAAGGGCTGGGATTACAGACGTGAGGCATTGTGCCTAAGAGTAGCTATTTTTTTTTTTTAGATGGAGTCTCACTCTGTCACCCAGGCTGGAGCGCAATGGCACGATCTCAGCTCACTGCAACCTCTGCCTCGCAGGCTCAAGCGACTCTCCTGCCTCAGGCTCTAGAGTAGCCGGGATTACAGGCACTCACCACCAAGCCCGGGTGATTTTTGTATTTTTGTAGAGATGGAGTTTCACCATGTTGGCCAGGCTAATCTTTTTTTTTTTTTTGAGACAAAGTTTTGCTCTTGATGCCCAGGCTGGAGTGCAATGGCATGATCTCGGCTCACCACAATGTCTGCCTCCTGGGTTCAAGTGATTCCCCTGCCTCAGCCTCCGGAGTAGCTGGGGTTACAGGCATGCGCCACCACGCCCGGATAATTTTGTACTTTTAGTAGAGACAGGGTTTCTTCATGTTGGTCAGGCTGGCCTTGAACTCCTAACCTCACGTGGTCCACCTGCGTTGGCCTTCCAAAGTGCTGGGATTACAGGCATGAGCCACCACACCCAGCCAGTAGCTTTTTTTTTTTTTTTTTTTTAAGACAGAGTCTTGCTCTGTCGCCAGGCTGGAGTGCAGCGGCGTTATCTTGGCTCACCACAACCTCCGTCTCCCAGGTTCAAAGTAATTCCCCTGCTTCAGCCTCCTGAGTAGCTGGGACTACAGGCGCGTACCACCAAGAGTAGCTTTTTAACCTAGGTCAGTATCATGTTGGTAAAATATGGAGAGAGGATATGTTTGAGCAGAAGGACCTTCCTCATCTTCTCACCTGTTCTAGGCTGCTACCTTCTGTTTCTACAAACCAAAGGAGGGGGCTCATAACTCAATGCACCTTATCTGAAAGTCTGACCAGGCTAGTCACTGCTGAATTCCCCTAAGGGATTCCTCTACCCCGACTGCCCTTACAGCAGCTGCACCCTCTGTCCTAGGGGCAGTAAGTAGACAGACCTGTGTGAGAAGAGCGCTCTTTCCACTCCAGATGTCCCCCCACTTCCTACATCCCTCCCCCCGGCCACTCACAGTTTGGGCCTGTAGCATCATTCATCCCGACCGCTCCCATGAGGTCTCCCCATCACAACAAAGACTGCGGCAAAGTGAACAGAGAACTCCAAGAGAGCCAGGAAAATGCCTTTATAAACCACCACAGAAAGCCTTATTTCTACTCTCTAAATCCGTTAATAAAGAGAGGAGACATTTTAAAATTCCAAGGCACTTCGTTACTAATCTGATTCTGGCCTACATGGGGATATTCCATAAATACTTGTTAAATTAAATTGACTCAAGGTTTTATTTATTCAACCTGCTTAAAGCTTATGTAAACCCCTTGGAGATTTGGGTCAAGCTGTTAAGTTGGAAAATATAAGAAAAGTATTTTCAATAGGCCAGCTTTCCTCTTAACGTACTTTATGAGCTTAGTGTAAACCAGGGGAATGGGGGAGGGGTATCAGGAGAACAGAAGGGAAGGAGGTGAAGAGGAAGGAGAAGAAAAAAAAAGTTTTTTCTCTCATTTCCTGCGTTTCTCTTAACTGCTGTACTTATTAACCAGCTACTGCCCTCTAGTGCTCACCGTATTAAGTTCACATTTGAATTCCATTTTATCTTTAAAAGCTCTGGTGACAGGCTGGGCATGGTGACTCACGCCCGTAATCCCAGCACTTTGGGAGTCCGAGGTGAGCGACCACAAGGTCAGGAGATCCAGACCATCCTGGCCAACATGGTGAAACCCTGTCTCTACCAAAAAAAAAAAAATACAAAAAATAGCTGGGCATAGTGGCAGGTGCTACTCGGGAGGCCGAGGCAGGCAAATTACTTGAACGAGGGAGTCAGAGGTTGCAGTGAACCGAGATCGCACCGCTGCAGTCCAGCCAGGCGACAGAACAAGAATCTGTCAGAAAAACAAAAAACAAACAAAAACCTCTGGTGACACTTGTAAGGGACCAAATTTCCTGTTTTGCAGATAAGCAAATTGAAGTCCAGAGAAAACAGGTGTCAGGCTGGCCCAGGGGACTTCCTGACTCTTTGTTACCTCATCTATAACTTATCTGGAAGACTTTATTAAAAGTCTTTCTCAGAAATTTTAATTGCTAACCAATAAAAATTGTAGCATAATCTTAGTGCTATTTATTATTTCCAGTGTTGTTCTAAATTAAGATTAGGCTGACTGCTGGTCAATTTAGGTAAGGATATAAAATAATATTGGTATATGTTTAACTTAGTACAAGTTTAGAAAATGTCTATGATACTTTTTTAAAAAGGTTAACTAGAACAAGCCTGAAGTGGATTTGGCTATTTATCAGAACTGACTTGTCATTGTCTCCATGTAGGCTTACATTCTGCTAGAATTCTCCCAAATGAAGCTCTTTGCTCACTAATGGGAAAAGGGGGTTTGTCATTTTAACTTGGAACATATTTTCATCACATAAGCATTTTGCTAGTGGAAATAAATGGAAAGTTATCCAGCTGGACATGCTACTTACAAGAACATTAATGAGTAACAAAAGATTTGTTCAAATATTTAATTGGAAGGAACTACATCTGAAATAAGTTGTATTGGAATTCATATAAAAAGAAAAGAAAATCCATTAGAAATTGATATAAACAGTTGATTTTATCTGGAACCAAGAATATTAATGAATTGGAACCTAGATGTCCTAACCTGTTTCTTTGCATAAAAACCAGTCGAATTTTGAAATTTATATGGCAATCATACTTTATTACTTTAGCTAGAGCTTTGTTCTCAGCTAAATATTTTAGAGACAGATTACCCAAATTACCTAATTTGGTTTCCACTTCACTCGTCCTCAAAAACCAAACATAAAGAAAGCAGAAGGGGGCATTTTCCTGTCTTCAAAATACAACCTCCTGCTAAGACCAGCAAGTCAGCAGGAACTCACTGCACTTGGGCTTCTAGTTACTGAATGAATTAAGAGACACTGAGTTCCATCCTTAGATGTCCACATAGATCCCATTGATCAAATAATCAAGCCTTGAGTAACGTTTCCTGCGGAGCGATTCTGAGAGGATTCTGCCCAAGAGGACGAGGCCTATCACCAGGAACAGGACACCAAAAAGCAGAGACCCGATGAGAAGCCATTTTTCAAATGGAAGGCCATACTGATTTTCTGGAACGCTGCCCTGGGAGGAACTGCCTGGATTGGTGTCCCTACCTTCCCAGGAAGCAGTTTTATTCATAGTGGAAGACTCCACATTTGACGTAGAAAATGCAGTAGGGTTATACACATTACCCATGTTCAAAGTTAGGTTGGAGATTTCTGTAAATGGTATCGTTCCTAGGCTGCCTTTCGAGTCTGTAGGTACCTGAAAGGTGGTAGTCAGGACTGCTGTTGTAGCCATCGCTTGGAGTGTAGCCACAGCCCGTGTAAAAACTGTAGAAATGAGGGTCGTGGGAGGCTGAGAAATGACAGTGGTTACAGGTGGAGCTGTGGTGGCCAGCTGTGGCTGGGAAGTCCCAGAAAGTGTCACTGAAGCATTGGTGGGTAGAAGGACAGTGGGCTTCGGAGTGGCCGAGGTGGTACGCAGAGAATTAACTGCCACTGTAGTTGGGAATGCACTCGCACTTCCAGGCAGCAGATGAGCTATGTCTTGTTTGGAGGAAAACCGTGAACTCTGAGAATGGCCTTTTTCTTTATTAACAAGGAGCTGGGCACTTGCTTCGTCAATCTTAAATAGTTTCTCCAAGTGATCTGAGGATCCAAACTTCTGAGAAAGTGTGTCTTTCCATGATATATTGGTGGGCTTTGAATAACCTGTGTGATGATGGGCTGGGGGAGTGACTGCTTGTGAAGGCTGGCCATGTAAGAGAGAATCTTCCTGGGCTAACTCTTGGCTTGGCAAATCAGTTCTGGTCAAAGATGGAAAATCTGAAAATGTATGGATAACAAAAGGAAAACTTATATAACTCCATGCTAAGGTAGGTTAAAAAAATACAAACATATCAGCTTGCTCAAAAGATCACCAAACTGGCTAGGAATGGTGGCTCACACCTATAATCCCGGCACTTTGAGAGGCTAAGGCAGGAGGATCATTTGAGGCCAGGAGTTTGAGACCAGCCTGGACAATATAGGGAGATCCTGTCTCTTAAAAAAAAAAAAAATCTCCGAACCGTTGATACTTGACATTTAATTGAAATGTGTGCAAAATGGAAAAACACAAATTGCTAAATGAGAATCTGATAACACCGCCTCTCTACCAGATGCTGTGGTTTATTTCTAGTATGACAGGACAGAAGAGAAGAGAAATGTGTGGAGGACCAGGCGAATTAAGGAAAAGGTGGGAGTTGCACAGTAGAGAAGCTGGAGGGGCTCAGCAGGGCAGCAAGGGGCTTAGGAAGATGGAGAACCCTCTCCATCTTCCTAAGGGACCAAGGCTAGGGAAGAAAGTGGGCTGGAGGGTGACCTGAGCAGGAGAGGGCGGCAGGGAGAATGCGCGGGAAGGTGTGGGCTTCTGCCAACTAAGGCAGAGATGACAATTCAGGACCAAGCAATCATCAAGAGAGATTTCAGTGGGGGCATGGGGCAGGCAAGAAACATATGTGGAAGCTGTGGGAAATGAGACGATAGAGCAGGAGAGGAGGAAGAATCCCCGTGATGTGCCTTTGACAGGGAGGAGGAGGAGGAACCAGGCAGGGTCTGGTCTCTCCTCTGAGCACTGAGGCCACAGCAGCAGCAGAAGGTTGAGGACTCCTTCGAACAACAACAAAACGGACATATCATCCCAGCACTGTGCTCAGAGGACAGAGGCTATCTGGGAGATTTCACTAGGACTCTTAAAAATTAGAATTTTGGAGCCAACGTCTTAGGTCATGAGGATGATGGGACCAATATTTGAAATCATGATGACCACATTGTAGAAAACCATACATTCCCGATGCCTGCTGAGGAGAAACTAGCCCCACATCCTGCTCCCACTCCAAGAAGCTTAGAGTTTTGCTCCTGATCACACACCCCATTTATCACAGCTCAAACTGGAAAGGCCTGTTCAAGCAATCAAGTGCAAGGAATGACCATGTGAATTGCTGTGTATTACTGTGCTGCTAGGCTAACCATCTCACGCAGATTAGAACTGCAGAAAACACAAGGAAAGAAGCAGAGAAATGTCCTGGCCTTTCTCAGTCAACTCACTCCTGCTCTTTTCCTTTCTCTTCCTCAATTCACCTCCACCCCAGTTTCTAAACTGGTCCTCAGTCTCTTCTTTCCTACAAACAGATCCAGAGGCAGCTTTGGATTAGTGCCCTCTTGTGACTATTCTCTAAGGCCTTACCCCTCTAAGAGGTCCTTTGCACTGTCACTTACTCATTCATCTAGGACAGGGCTCAGCAAACTATGGCCTGATGGGCAAATCTGGCCTACCATCTGTCTTTGTATGACTTGCAAGCTAAGAATGGTTTTTACTTTTTTTTTTTTTTTTAGGTTGGAGTCTCACTCTGTCACCCAGGCTGGAGTGCAGTGGCGTGATCTCAGCTCACTGCAACCTCTGCCTCCCAGATTCAAGCGATTCTCCTGCCACAGTCTTCTGAGTAGCTGGGATTGCAGGCATGTGCCACCATACCTGGCTGATTTTTGAATTTTTAGTAGAGATGGGGTTCCACCATGTTGGCCAGGCTGGTCTCAAACTCCTGAACTCAGGTGATCCACCTGCTTCAGCCTCCCAAAATGCTAGGATTTCAGGGCTGAGCCACCACACCCAGCCAGCTTTTACATTTTTTAATGGCTGAAAAATAATCAAAAGAATATTGTATGACACAGGAAAAGTATATGAAATTCAAATTTCTGTATTTCTAAACCTAAAATACTGGTATGAAAAGCCTAAAATGCTATTTGGCCCTTGGCAAAAAAAAGTTGGTGGACATTTGCTCTAGGATATAGTATTCTACTCTAAAATAGATTTGGGTCAAATTAAATATATCTTTAAAAAAAATATATATATATATATATATATGTTTGAGAAGGGGTCTTGCTCTGTCTCCCAGGCTGGAATGCAGTAGCACAGACACACCTCACTGTAGCCTTGATTTTCCAGGTTTAAGCGATCCTTCTACCTCAGCCTCTCGAGGAGCTGGGACCGCAGTGCCATACCACCACACCCAGCTAATTTTTGTATTTTTTGTAGAGACAGAGTTTTGCCATGTTGCCCAGGATGGTCTTGAACTCCTGGAATCAAGCAATCCGCCCACCTCGGCCTCCCAAAGTGCTGAGATTACAGGTGTGACCCATCATGCTTGGCCTATAATTCATTTTAAAGTTAAAAAAGAAAAAGACTATTTATATAAACACTCTGTGATATGTGGGAAATCAGAATTTAAATATGGCCATTGACAAGAATGACCAAAACAGCTGTTTTCTTTCCCAAGCACACAAACTCATAAATAAAGCAAAGCTCGAGCCAGTCCCACTTCTTGATAAGATTCCTCTGTTGGCAGAGGTCCTAGAGCCACACAGGAGTCCTCCACACCTGCTCCATTTGCCTCACCCACTCATGTTTGCCGTTGGGGCGTGGTGCTTCCCCTCAGTCATGCAGAGACGAGCCACAAAGGGAGCTGCAAAGCAGCTCTGCACCCTTAACTCCTCTTTGGAGTTTTATTTTCAAACAACTTCACTGAGTCGAAAAATGAGAGACTATTACTTGGACCCCAGCTGAGCAAACAGACTCCCAATTTATTCTATGTCTGAATTCTCCCATTCTTCCAGTCCTTGGTAAAAATGGCATGCCATGAAGCTGCCAACAGCAACAATAAAAGATTAAATAATACCAAATGGCAATGGTTTTATAGAATGAACAGAACCCACTGTCATCATTCAAACTCTTGGTCTGTAAATATTAGTCAACTGGATATAGGAAATAGAGGCCAGGCAAGGTGGCTTACGCCTGTAATCCCAGCACTTTGAGAGACTGAGGCGGGATGACTGATTGAGGCCAGAAGTTTGAGACCAGCCCAGTCAACATACTGAAACCCCTATTGCTACAAAAAATTTTTAAAAATTAGCCTGGTATGGTGGTGCATATCTGTAGTCCCAACTACTCAGGAGGCTGAATGAAGAGGACGGCTTGAGCCCAGGAGGAGGCTGCAATGAGCCATTATTGCACCACTGCACTGCAGCCTGGGCAAGAGAGTGAGACACTGTCTCAAAAAAAAAAAAAAAAAAAAAAAAAAAAAAAAAAAAAAAAAAAAAAAAAAAAAAAAAGAAAGAAAGAAAGAAAAGAAAAAGAAATAGAGAAATAGAGTTCTTCCAGAAACAAACCATCAGATATTCATATTTAATTTCACTCCAGGCAGGAGGCAGATAATTCATTTTTAATGGGGTAATCTGAATTCATCAACATGGACAGATTCATAAACAGAATTACAAATACAACTTGCACACATCCTGTAGATATAAACAGTCCTTTGCATACTATGTCCAGGGTTGGTGCCACGTTGCCACTAGGTATCCATCAACCTGCTCAGGGGCTGGCACTGCCCCCTGGTGGCTACCATAAGAACCATTTAATTCTATTTTACTTCATTACCTTCACACTCGCCCCAAGATTTATGTACATGCCAAATTCCCCTTTTCCCCATTTCCATTGGCAAAGATCTTCACCCCATACATTCCCTTTTATAGGTGCATTATAAAAGCAACAACACTACAGAGGTATTAGAAAACAAATTCAGCTATAATTTCTATCATCATATTTTAACAGTAATTATTTACACAGATACTGTGTTCTTCATGCTCCTGTTTCAGGGGATGTTTGACGCATCAGGTTTCCCTGGCATATGAGCAAAACTCAGACACAGCCTCAGCCAGAGGGCAAAGCAGTGTCAACACCCAGGCACGCTGAGCAGTATCATTCCCCAAAGCACCTCATACTTAATGCAGTCAAGAGAGAGCTCTAGATTCCATCCCACAACGCTAAAACTACTCCTCAAGTTTCCCCCAATGGAGCACATGGCGTCACCATTCATCTAAATGCTCAAGGCAAAAACTAGGACTTGGCCTTGATGGTTCTCTTTTTCTGGTCCCCCAGACCCATACCACCAGCAGATCCCGTCAACTCTACTTTGGAACAGCCCGTATGTCCACTTCTCTCTCCATCTTGCCCACCACTCCTTGTGCCTTCACCCAGGTCTCACCCATGGCTCCTAACCAGTCTTTCAATTTTCACTTTACTGCTGTGTCACTGTTCATTCCCAAAAGGGCAGCTATGGTGAGCTTTGAGAAATCACCTTTAAAACACCACATAACATGCCTGCTTTAAAACTCCTGCCAGGCATGGTAACTCACGCCTGTAATCCTGGCATTTGGGAGGCTGAGGTGGACAGATCACTTGAGGTCAGGAGTTCGAGACCAGCCTGGCCAACATGACAAAACTATTTGTACTAAAAATACAAAAATTAGCCAGGCATGGTGATGCTTGCCTATAGTCCCAGCTACTCAGGAGGCTGAGGCAGGAGAATCACTTGAACCGGGAGGCGGAGGTAGCATTGAACCGACATTGCGCCACTGCACTCCATCCTGGGTGACAGAGTGAGACTCCAACTCAAAAAAATAAAAGTAAAAATAAAACTCTCAACAGGTTCCCACCACACACCTAAGATAAAAACTCCCGGCCAGGCGTGGAGGCTCACACCTGCAATCCCAGTACTTTGGGAGGCCGAGGCAGGTAGATCACCTGAGGTCAGGAGTTTGAGACAAGCCTGGCCAACATGGTGAAACCCTGTCTCTACTAAAAATACAAAAATTAGCCAGGCATGGTGGCATGCACCAATAGTCCCAGCTAGGTGGAGGTTGCAGTGAGCTGAGATCGTGCCACTACACTCCAGCCTGGGCAACAGAGTGAGACTCCTGTCTCAAAAAGAAAAAAAAAAAAAAAAAAAAAAAAAACTCTCTCCTACGACTTACAGGGCGTTATATGATCTGGCCCTCCCTGCCGTTTTATATATCACTCTCTGTATATTTCACAATGAGTCAACCAGCTGGGATTGGAGTGCTGGTATTTCAAACACTCCAAATCATTCTGCCTAAGGACCTTGGACCTGGATGGTCTTCCCTTGATCTCCTCACATCTGGCTCCTTGCTGTTCAGATCTCAGTTTAGGGTTTAAATCTTTACTTACTGATTGTCTATTTTAGGGTCTGGTCTCAATTCTCTTTATAGCACTTGTGACTATATTTTTCTTGATTATTTATTTATTATGGTTATTGTCTCTCTCCCCTAAAACAGAAGTTCCAGAAGGGAGAACCTTGTTTTCCTATTTTTTTTTTAGAGACAGAGTCTCACTCAGTCATCTAGGCTAGAGTGCAGTGACACGAACACAGCTCACTGCAGCTTTGACCTCCCAGGCTCAAGGGATTCTCCCACCTTGGCCTCCTAAGTAGCTGAGACTACAAGCTCATGCCACCATGCCTGCCTAATTTTTAACATTTTTTTAGAGATGAGGTTTCACCATGTTGCCCAGACTGGTCTCGAACTCCTGGCCTCAAGTGATCCTCCAGCCTCCCAGAGTGCTGGCATTATAGGCATGAGCTACCATACTCAGCCAGAACCTTGTTTTTCATGTGTAGCGTTGTATCCTTAGGGCATAAAAAGTACTTAGCACATAGAAGATGCTAAATAATATTTGTTATTTATTGAATAAATGAACAAGTAGAATATTAAAAATCAGGAGTATAATGATAACAACTTTCTAAAACTTAAAGAAAAGAAAAATTGAGGCTGGGCGTAGTGGCTCATGGATGTAATCCCAGGACTTTGGGAGGACGAGCTGGACGGATCACCTGAGATCAGAAGTTTGAGACCAGCCTGGCTAACATGGTGAAACCCCGTCTCCACTGAAAATACAAACATTAGCCTGGCTAATTTTTTTTGTATTTTTTTAGTAGAGATGGGGTTTCACCATATTGGCCAGCTGGTCTTGAATTCCTGACCTTGTGATCCGCCCACGTTGGCCTCCCAAAGTGTTGGGATTAAAGGCGTGAGCCACCGTGCCCGGCCAATAAATATTTCTTGAATGAATTTCCTTTCAGGTCTAGACAACAAAATCCGGTGAGTTTGATTTCAGACGAGATTGGGTGCGTTCAGGGAGGTGTGGCCATAAACAAGTTTGATTTCAGATAATGTGACGATAACGGGAACTTAATAACAAATATACTAGAATCTTCTGTATTAAGATGTGACCCCTTTTGGTAGTTTCATTTAGACTCTAGCAGAAAATCTTTCACATAAACCATATTCTTACATTATTCTAATCACAAAAGAAGAAGTATAACACTTTTATTACCTCTAATTATCCTGTAAGTCATGAGTCCTTTTGCTGGTTTCAATGGACAGGCTTCCTCACTGGGACAGAAAAATAGGTAGCAGTTGGGCTGTCGAGCTGTTTTTCGAGTGTCGAAGATCATCAAGTTACATGCTTTGTCCCCTGTAACGAAAGGTCTCATAAGCATGATTTTGAAATGAGATTTTCTAAAGAGTAGGGCAAGCAGGAAAAACTTCACTTATTCTGGAGTCCAACACAAACACCTTTGTTCATTTTGTTCACTGGCTTGCTGACCGCTGAATCATTTCCTTTTCCTTAGTTGCTTAAGACAACTTTTAAAAACATTGGGTTTAGCTCTTTTTTTTTTTTCACACGATGGCACTGAAGGCGAAGAAGGAAGCGCCTGTCCCTCCTTCAGTAGAAGCCAAAGCAAAGGCTTTAAAGGCCAAGAAGGCAGGGCCGAAAGGTGTCCACAACCATACACACACACACACACACAAAGACCTCCATGTCGCCTCCAGCAGCCCCAGACACTGTGGCTCCCGAGGCAGCCCAAATATCCTGGGAAGAGCATCCTCACAAGCTTGACCACTTTGCCATCATCAAGCCCTGACCACTCCTGTGCTATGAAGACAGAAGACAACCACACACTGATTGATGTTCACTGTGGATGTAGGGCCAACAAGCACCAAACAGACTGTTAAGAGGCTCCCTCACATTGATGTGACCAAAGTCACACCCTGAGCAGGCCTGATGGAGAGAAGGAGGCATGTGCTCACAATGCTTTGCATGTTGCCTATAAAACTGGGATTTTTTTTTTTTGGAGACGGAGTTTCACTCTTGCTACCCAGGCTGGAGTGCAATGGTGTGATCTTGGCTCACCACAACCTCCGCCCTCTGGGTTCAAGCAATTCTCCTGCCTCAGCCTCCAAGTAGCTGGGATTACAGGCATGTGCCACCACACCCGGCTAATTTTGTATTTTTAGTAGAAATGGGGTTTCTCCGTGTTCGTCAGGCTGGTCTTCAACTCTCGACCTCAGGTGATCTGTCCACCTCGGCCTCCCAAAGTGCTGGAATTACAGGTGTGAGCCACCGCGTCTGGCCTTTTGTTTTGAGACAATGTCTGGCTCTGTTGCTCAGGCTGAAGTGCAGTGGCATGATCTCAGCTCACTGCAACCTCCACCAGGTTCAAGAGATTCTCCCATCTCAGCCTCCGGAGTAGCTGGGACTACAGATGCAAGCTACCACATCCAGATTTTTTGTAGAGATCGAATCTCCCTATGTTGCCCAGGCTGGTCTTGAACTCCTGGGCTCAAGCTCTTTGCCCTTGTTGGACTCCTAAAGTGCTGGGATTGCAGCTGTAAGCCACCACACCTGGCCATCTCTTGGCTTCTGAAAGCATCTCAGATGCCTATAAAGCCATGAGTGGAGTCAGTAAGATATCCTAGATGTCATGCCTCCTTCCACAAAGGATTTGAGTAGTGTATGGAATACAGTCTATCCTTTAATTTGTATCTGTATCATTCTTTTTGTTTTTCTTCCAGTTTCCCCTCTTTCCTTGTCAGGTTTGCTTTTCTGTTCCTTTTCTCACTTTTCCTTTTTTTGTTGTTGTTGAGACGAAGTCTCACTCTGTCACCCATGCTGGAGCGCAGTGACGCAATCTCAGCTCACTGCAACCTCTGCCTCCGGGGTTCAAGTGGTTCTCCTGCCTAAGCCTCCCAAGTAGCTGAAATTACAGGCTAATTTTTGTATTTTTAGTAGAGACGTCTGGCTTTTCGTATTTTTAGTAGAGACAGGGTTTCACTGTATTGGCCAGGCTGGTCTCGAACTCTTGACCTCATGATCCACCCGCCTGGGCCTCCCAAAGTGACAGGTTTACAGGCGTGAGCCACCAAGCCCAGCCACTTCCTCACTTTTCACTCTTAACTATAATTTCTGGTGTCTTTTCTTTTTTGAGTCAGGGTCTTGCTCTGTCATCCAAGCTGCAGTGCAGTGGTACAATCACAGCTCACTTCAGCCTTGATCTCCGGGGCTCAAACAATCCTCCCACCACCTCAGCCTCCCCAGTAGCTGGGACTACAGGTGTGCACCACCACACCCAGTGAATTTTTTGTTTTTTTGTAGGGGCAAGGTCTCATTATGTTGCCTAGACCGATCTTGAACTCCTGGGGTCAAGCAATCCACTCCCCTCAGCCTCCCAAAGTACTGGGATTACAGGCATGAGCTACCGCACCCAGCTGCTGGCTTTTCTGTTCCTCTTGTGTCCAACAGAAATTAAACTCTCTACTCATCGTGGCCTAGATTTGATTTTGTCCTCAATTTGGTACAGTCTCACATCTTTGGGAGGTCAGCATATCCCTATTTGGGTTGAAGGTTAAGAGGCACATAGGCTAATCATTAAAAACACATGCTCCGTTGACCATCACAGCCACTGCTGCTAGTCAGGCAATGGTGAGAGATCAACTCCAACTCCCCAGAAGGGAAAGAAGATTTAGTTAGCCTCGGCAGGGGGTTTATCATGTCATATCCCCATTACTCAGATTATAAGAGGGGTACTCCTGCTTTTTCTTTCTCAACAATGTGATACCAGAAATATCATTCTTTTTGGCACTTAGGTAAAGGGGAGGGTCCATAAAGCTCAAAATTGTATGTAAGATATTGTGCTCATCATGTTACATACATTTTTTTCCCTTCCTTCCTTCCTTTTTCTTTCTCCCTTTCTCTTTTTTTCGTTCTGATGGAGTCTTGCTCTGTCCATAATCCTCAAAATTGTGTGTAACATATTATGCCCATTATGTTATATGTATTTCTCTCTCTCTCTCTATCTCTTTCTCTCTCTTTCTTTCCTGATGGAGTCTCGCTCTGTCACCCAGGCTGGAGTGCAGTGGCGCAATTTCAGCTCACTTCAACCTCCGCCTCCCAGGTTCAAGCAATTCTCTGTCTCAGACTCCCGAGTAGCTGGGATTACGGGCACCTGCCACCACGCCCAGCTAATTCTTATATATATATATATATATTTTTTTTCAGTAGAGATGGGTTTTCACCATCTCAGCCAGGCTGGTCTCCTGACCTCGTGATCTACTCACCTCGGCCTCCCAAAGTGCTGGGATTATAGGTGTGAGCCACTGTGCCTGGCCTATGTGCATTTTTCTAGAGTATCATCAAGTTATCAAAGTGCCTTTGAACCCTTAGTGGTTAAACCATTGCTCAATAGTGAGGAAAATGTTTGAGATCCATTAACTGAGGTCCCAAGTACCTTTGCTTGTAGTAAAGCAGTAATAGGACTTCGGCTTATAAAATAAAACAGCAAACCCTCATTTCTTAGAATTGAGGAGAAATGCAGAGCTTTGCTGATGCCTATAAATACCCACACTTAAGACAGTATTCAGTTCTGCTTGCAGGTGATGTTTCTTTTTCACATAAATGTTGATGTCAACATTTAATGAAAAACTAGAAATTTAAATTAAACCTCTGTCATTTCCATAAATTACTTGCATAAAGTGTTCCAAAGCACACTGCTCAATGAGACCATTGAAGGGACTTTTCCTCCTGACACCAACTATATGGTGTCTTCTCCACAGCAGTGTTCCGGCAAAAACCGCATATCCTACCATTCAGTTCAATTTGGACACCAACTATCCTGAGTTAGCATCAGATCCCATGGATTGTGGGCTCAGTATCACAAGACTGCCCTCACTTCAGAAGCCAGTAGCAAGTATCAGGTCTCCAGGTTACCCACATTTCTGTCTGACTTGGCTGGTACTAATTCAGGGGTTCCCATGGTCCTACCCCCTCAGATTTGATAATTTGCTAGAACAACTAATATAACTAAGGAAAATGCTATATTTACTATTACAGTTTATAATAAAGGATACAAATGAACAGCCAAAAGAGGCTCCACAAGTCCCAAGTACAGGAGACTCTGCCCCTGGGGAATTGGGGTGCATCATCCTCTTGACACTGGGATGTGTTCACCAACTTGGATGCTCCCCCATCATCTAGGGGTTCTTATGATGGTTTCACTACGTGATTGATTAAGTCATGGGCCACTGTGACTGAACTCAATCTCCAGCCTGTCCCCTGAGGTGAAACCTCACTAGCACAAACTCAAGTAGAGTTGAAAGTGGGTGGTTATGAATAACCAAGGACATGCTCCTATCACTTGGGAAATTCCAAGGTTTTTAGGAGCTCTGTGCCAGGAACTGGAGACAAAGACCAAATATGTATCCTTTGAGACAAAGTCTTGCTGTGTCACCCAGGCTGGAGTGCAGTTTTGCAATCAAAGCTCACTGCAGGTCGTGTGTGGTGGCTCTCGCATGTAATCCCAGCACTTTGGGAGGCTAAGGCGGGAGGATCATTTGAGGTCAGGAGTTAAAGACCAGCCTGACCAACACAGTGAATCCATGTCTCTACTAAAAATAGTTAAAACTAGCCAGGCATGGTGGTGAACGCCTGTAATCTCAGCTACTCAGGAGGCTAAGGCAGAATTGCTTGAACCTGGGAGGCGGAGGTTGCAGTGAGCTGAGATTGTGCCACTGCACTCCAGCCTGGCGACAGAGCAAGACTTCATTTCAAACAAACAAACAAAAAGCTCACAGCAGCCTCAACCCCCTGGGCTCAAGTGATCCTCCTATCTCAGCCTCCCAGTAGCTGGGACTACAGGCATGTGCCACCACACCCAGCTAATATTTTACTTTTTACAGAGAACAGGGTCTTGCTATGTTGCCTAGGCTGGTCTCAAACTCCTGGGCTCAAGCAATCCTCCTGCCTTGGCCTCTCAAAGTTTTGGGGTTATAGGAATGAGCCACCATGCCCGGCCATTCATTAGCTTTTCTAGGCTCCTTGATGGCAAGGCCTTGTCCATCTTATTCACTGTTTTCTCTCTAGCAACTAGTAAAGTGTTAGGTACTCAATAAATTTTTTTTTTCATTTAGAGAATTCAAACAGGGTCATAAGTAAAATTGAAAAAGACAACTGTTTTACTAAGATACATAGTATACTTCTCTTTTCCGTTCCAAGATTTAAATCCTAAAATAAAATATGCAAAGGCCTGGTTCAAACCTATGGGTCTCAGTTTCCTCCTGTGTCATGAAAATGTGTCATTCTAGGCCGGGCACCACGGCTCATGCCTGTAATCCCAGCACTTTGGGAGGCCGAAGCAGGTGGATCACCTGAGGTCAAGAGTTCAAGACCAGCCTGGCCAACATGGTGAAACCCTGCCTCTATAAAAAAAAATTTATGAAAAAACAATAATAATAAAAAAGGAAATGGGTCAGTCTAAATGACTCCTCATCCCACTAGACTTCTAGAAGCTGCGGTTACCTAGTAGTCAGCGGTTTTTTTGACTTATCCTATGCCACCAGCTCCACGGAAGGAGAAGAAGTGGGGGTTTTATGCTTCCAACTTAAAGATCAAATGCTAATTTTCCCATGAGATAAGAATTTTATTTTTTGTCTCAACTCCTTTTCTCTGTCGGCATTTTCTTTGTAGTATCACACCATATTCCAATACTCCATGATGATAGCAGGTAAGCATTTCAATAGGATTTTTGTTTTCAATATTCTAGATACCAGTTGGGATATAACACCAATGATTCTCAACCTCTTCTTTACCCAGTCACCTGAGGGATATAGACATACATTCATCAATAACTTTGACTCAGCTTAGCGGAGGGGAGGGCACACTTGTAGAGAATTCTCCAGTGATTATGTCACTTACATTTATATCCTATTGAGAGTCACTGGTATAAGCAATTCAGCCATATCCCCCAGCTACTGAAGTCACAAAACACATGAAACAAAGGATTCAGGAAACTACTATTTACCTGATATGTTTTCTGTTGAACAGCAAGAATGAATGCAGTCTTCTTGAGTTAAAGTATATATGGGCTCATTGCCTCTGATTCCCTTAGAAAGAGATGACTGGATGTCAATGACAACATCTTCTAGACTCTTGTTGAGGCAATTCTGACCAGCAGACAGCCTTAGTGTCAGGAAACAAATTACTACCAAAGTGGAAGTCAAGCTCCCTTCTCCCCTGAAGAACATTTTAAATTTCAGTTTAGTTTTGGTCTTCAAAGATCAAGGATAATCCTCCCTCTGGTCCTAGTTTGCTTTAAGAAGGTTGCACAGTTGATGAAATTTCTCTCTAGAACAAAAACGGAAAATCATCAATGAGTTTTGTTCCTTTAACAAACAAGGCAAGAAACTTTCATTTCCTTAAAGGCAATGAAAAGGACCCACGTACAATTTAGAGAAGAAAACAAGTATTTTTTGTTTCACTTTTAGTAAATTTAAGATAACCTTTCATTAAACACTTGGCAAAGAACTAATAAGTATAAACAAACATACTAGCTAACCAATGCTTAAAAGCTGACAATGCATATGAAGGAACAGGTATAAACAGTAGGCCTGCCTCAGAGTTCTACAATCCTTCCCTCTTCTAACTCAGAGCAGAAGATATAACTTTCTTTTTTTTTGAGTCAGAGTCTCACTCTGTCGCCAGGCTGGAGCGCAGTGACATGATCTCGGCTCACTGCAACCTCTGCCTCCCGGGTTCAAGCGATTCTCCTGCCTTAGCCTCCCGAGTAGCTGGGGCTACAGGAGCGTGCCACCATGCCCAGTTAATTTTTGTATTTTTAGTAGAGACAGAGTTTCACCATGTTGCCCAGGATAGTCTCAATCTCCTGACCTTGTGATCTGCCCACCTCGGCCTCCCAAAGTGGTGGGACTACAGGCATGAGCCACCGCGCCCGTGGACACAATTTTCCGGCCTAGAGAACACAAATTTCTAGTCATTGATGAAGCAGTAGTAATAGGTTTGAGCATATTTCTTTTCTCAGTAATAAGAATCAGTATTTTAAAATTATCTACTAGGGGCTACGCATGGTAGCTGATGCCTGTAATCACAGCACTTTGGAAGGCTGAGGTGGATGGATTGCTTAAGCTCAGGAGTTTGAAACCAGCCTGGGCAACATGGTGAAACCTCGTCTCTACTAAAAATACAAAAAATTAGCTGGGTGTGGTAGCGCACGCCTGTGGTCCCAGATACGTGGGAGGTTGAGGTGGGAGGATTGCTGGATCCCAGGAAGTTGAGGCTGCAGTGAGCCATGACTGCACCACTGCACTCCAGCCTGGGTGACAGAGCAAGACCATGCTTCAAAAAAAAACTTTAAAATTAAAAGCTGGGCTCGGGGCCTCACATCTATAATCCTAGCACTTTGGGAGGCCGAGGTGGGCAGATCACAAGGTCAGGAGTTCGAGACCAGCCCGCCCAACATGGTGAAACCCTGTCTCTACTAAAATACAAAAATTAGCCAGGCATGGTGGTATACCTGTTATCAATCCCAGCTACTCGGGAGGCTGAGGCAGGAGAATCGCTTGAACCAGGGAGGTGGAGGTTGCAGTAAGCCTAGATCATGCCACTGCACTCCAGCCTGGGTGACAGAGTGATACTCCATCTCAAAAAAAATAAATAAAATAAAAAATAAAAATAGATAACATGCTAGATGGTAGACATTGTGCTGAGCAATTTACTACTTTTTGTTATCTTTAATTAATTAATTAAATTTATTACCCTCTTTTTTTTATTACCATCTTTAATCCTTATACCAACTGTGATGGTTAATACTGAGTGTCAACTTGATTGGATTGAAGGATACAAAGTATTGATCTTGGGTGTGTCTATGAGGGTGTTGCCAAAGGAGATTAATGTTTGAGTCAGCAGGCTGGGAAAGGCAGACCCACCCTTAATCTGGGTGGGTACAATCTAATCAGCTGCCAGTACGGCTAAAATATAAGCAGGCAGAAAAATGTGAAAAAGAGAGAATGGCTTAGCCTCTCATTCTGTTTTTTGTTGTTGTTTTTTGTTTTTGTTTTTGTTTTGAGATGGGAGTCTTGCTCTGTTGCCCAGGCTGGAGTGCAGTGGCACGATCTTGGCTCACTGCAACCACGACCTCCCAGGTTCAAGCGATTCTCTTGCGTCAGCCTCCTGACTGGCTGGGACTACAGGCATGTACCACCACACCTGGCTAATTTTTTGTATTTTCAGTAGAGATGGGGTATCACAGTGTTAGATAGGATGGTCTCCAACTCCCAACCTAGTGATCCGCCTGCCTCAGCCTCCCACAGTGCTGGGATTAAAGGCATAAGCCACTGCGCTCGGCCCCAGACTATATCTTTCTCCTGAGCTGGATGCTTCCTGCCCTCAAACATCAGACTCCAAGTTCTTCAGTTTTGGAACTCCTTGCTCATCAGCCTACAGATAGCCTATTTTGGGACCTTGTGATCGTGTGAGTTAATACTTAATAAACTTCCCTTTATATATGTATATAAATATATATATATATATATATATATATATATATATATATATATATATATATATATATATATATATATATATTCCATTAGTTCTATCCCTCTAGAGGACCCTGACTAATACAGCAACTCTGCAAAAAAGCTATTATTGGCCAGGCACAGTGGCTCATGTCTGTAATCCCAGCACTTTGGGAGGCTGAGGTGGGCGGATCACCTAAGGTCAGGAGTTTGAGACCAGCCTGGCCAACATGGCGAAAACCTGTCTCTATTAAAAATACAAAAATCAGCAGGGTGTGATGGCGGACACCTGTAATCCCAGCTATTTGGGAGGCTGAGGCAGGAGAATCACTTGAACCCAGGAGGCGGAGGTTGCAGTGAGCCAAGATCGTGCCACTGCACTCCAGCCTGGATAACAGAGCAAGACTTCATCTCGGAAAAAAAAAAATACAAAAGTCACACTATGGATAACGCCAACTCTATTGAAATGCTGGTTCTTTTAGGAAAAAAAAATGTTAAACTGGCAAGACAATACAAGAAATTATCCTCATTCATCCACCTCCACATTTCTAGAATACAGATTGTTCACTGAATGATACCTTAGAGCAGTATTACTACTTCTTTATCCTTCTTTGGTCATTAACCCCTTTGATAGTCTAAGAAGCTCAGGATCTCTTCTGAGAGACATATTTAAAAATGCATAAAATGAAATATGTCAGATTCCAAAGGAAGCCAGTTATATTGAAATATAATTGACTGGACTCAGTGGCTCATGCCTATAATCCCGGCACTTTGGGAGGCCAAGCTGGGTAGGTCATGATGTCAAGAGATTGAGCCCATCCTGGGTAACATGGTGAAACCCTCTCTCTACTAAAAATACAAAAATTAGCTGGGCATGGTGGTGCGTGCCTGTAGTCCCAGCTACTTGAGAGGCTGAGGCAGGAGAATCGTTTGAACTTGGGAGGCAGAGGTTGCAGTGAGCCAAGATTGTGCCACTACACTCTAGCCTGACAACAGAGTGAGACTCCATCTCAAAAAAGAAAGAAAGAAAGAAATATAATTATATTAAAATGTAATTATCAAAATAGTTTTAAAAATGTCCCTACAAAATTCTGGTGAAAGAAATCAAATAGAGAGCTATTACATGTTCATAGGAAGACTCTATCTTGTTAAGATATCAGTTCTTCCCAACTTGAGCTATAGATTAAATACAGTCCCAATCAAAAGCCCAAAGTTATTTTTTGGATATCAACCAATTTTAAAACTTACATGGAAATGCAGAAAAGACCAAGAATAGTCCAGAATACTAACAAACAAAGTTGGAAGACTGATACTAATTGACTTCAACATTTACGGTAAAGCTACAGTAATTTAAAAAGTATGGTATTAGAGAGTCAACTGATCTTTGACAAAGGAGCAAAAGCAATTCAATGGTGAAAGAATAGTCTTGTCTTTTCTTTTCTTTTTTTTTGAAGAACGGAGTTTCACTCTTGTTGCCCAGGCTGGAGTGCAATGGCCCAATCTCAGCTCACGACAACCTCTGCCTTCTGGGTTCAAGTGATTCTCCTGCCTCGGCCTCCTGAGTAGCTGGGATTACAGGCATATGCCACTATGCCTGGCTAATTTTGTATTTTTAATAGAGATGAGGTTTCTACATGTTGGTCAGGCTGGTCTTGAACTCCCAACCTCGGGTGATCCACCTGACTTGGCCTCCCAAAGTGCTGGGATTACAGGTGTGAGCCACCACACCTGGTAAGAATAGTCTTTTCAAAAAATGGTAATGGAACAACTGGATGTCCACTTGTAAAAATGAATAAATAAATAAATCTAGCCACATACTTTATACCGTTTGGAAAAATTAGCTCTAAATGGATCACCAATCTAAATATAAAATGTAAAACTATAAAATTTCTAGAAAATAACAGAAGAAAATCCTTGTGACCTTAGATTAGGTGATGAGTTTTTAAATACAATATCAAAAGCACACTCCATGAAAGAAAAAATTGATGTTGGACTTCATTAAAATTAAAAACTTTTGTTCTGCAAAAGATACTGTTAAGAGAATGAAAAGACAAGCCACAGACTTGGAAGAAATACTTGGTTATTTTTTTGGAGGAAATATTTGTGAAACAAAAGCAGTAGTCCCCAACCTTTCTGGCACCAGGGACCAGTTTCATGGAAGACAATTTTTCCATGGATGGGGTTGTGTGGGGTATGGTTCAGGATGATTCAAGTGCATTGTATTTATTGTGCACTTTATTTCTATTATTACACTACAATATATAATGAAATAATTATACAACTCACCATAATTTAGAATCAGTGGGAGCCTTGAGCTTGTCTTCCTGCACCTAGACAGTCCCATCTGGAGGTGATGGGAGACAGTGACAGATCATCAGGCATTAGATTCTCATAAGCAGCATGCAACCTAGATCCTTCATACGCGCAATTCGCAATAGGGTTCATACTCCTATGAGAATCTAATTCCACCACTGATCTGACATGAGGTGAAGCTCAGGTGATAATGCAAGCAATGGGGAGTGGCCGTAAATGCAGATAAAGCTTGCTCACTGCCCCACTGCACACCTCCTGCTGTGTGGCCCATCTCCTAATAGGTACTGGTCCTGGCCCAGAGGCTGGGGACCCACATGATAAATGACTGGTATCCAAAATATACCAAGAACCCTTAAAAGTCACCAGTAAGAAAACAAACTAAATGGACAAAAGATCTGAACAGATACCTTACCAAAGAAACTAAACAGATGACAAATAAGCATATGAAAAAGTATCTAATATCTTGTGTCATTAGGGGATTGCAAATTCAAACAAGATACCACTACCCACCTATGAGAATGGCTAAAATCCAAAAAATGAACAATACCAAATGCAAGGACATGAAGCAACAGAACTTCTTTACACATCTATAATCCCAGCACTTTGGGAGGCTAAGGTGGGTGGTTCACTTGAGGTCAGGAGTTTGAGAGCAGCCTGGCCAACATGGTGAAACCCAGTCTCTCAAAAACAAAAACAAAACCAGAAATCAGTCAGGCATGGTGGTGGGCGCCTGTAATCCCAGCTACTTGGGAAGCTAAGGCAGGAGAATCACTTGCTGGTGGGGAATGCAAAATGGCACAGCCACTTTGGGAGAAGTCTGGCAGTCTCTTACCAAGCTAAATGTAGTCTTAACATACAATTCAGCAATTGTCCTATGTATTCATTCAAATGAACTGAAAACTTATGTTCACACAAAAATCTGCACAAGAATATTTATAGTAGCTTTATTCATAATTACCAAAAACTAAATGCAACCAAGATGCCCCTCAATAAATGAATAAACAAAATGAGATACATCCATATATTGGAATGTTATTCAGTAATAAAAATAAAGGAACTACCAAGCCACAAAAAGACATGGAGAAATTTTAACTGCATATTACTAAGTGAAAGAAGCCAGTCTGAAAAGGTAAGACTCCAACTATATGACATTCTAAAGAAGGCAAACTACAGTGGCAGTAAAAAGGTCAGTGGTTACCAGGAGAACAAGAGTGGGAGGATGAATCGGTGGAGTACAAGGAGTATTTAGGGCAGTGAAACTATTCTGTATACTACGGTAATGGAGGATACATGTTATTGGACATCTGTCAAAACCCATAGAAATGTGAAACACACAGAGTGAACATTATGTGAACTGTGGACTTTTAGTTCAAAAACAAGGTAAAAGAAAACAGAAAAACAAAAACCAGTATATGGCAATAAAACACAAGTCTAATACCTTTCTTGCTGTCTGTCAAAATTCTGCATACAGTAAAATAGTAACATTTATTGCTTCTAACATGCTAGTTTCTATGCTAAGCACTTATTTTTTTCAGCATTTTCGCAAGCATAGGCACTTTATATATATCATGTCATTTAATCCTCACAGATCCCACTATCACCCTCATTTTCAGTGAAAACTTATAAAAAGTTGTAGGACATAATATGTGCTTCTTTATTAACCTATTAAGTAACAAGTGGTCATCTAATAGCTGCCGTAATTTTGACATGGTATTGAGTACAGATAACATTTTGAAATATGTGCAACAAGTCATGTGATATAAAAGTATCAGCAATATCTACTGGGGGCAAATCATAGCTACTGCTGATAACTACTGTGGCTCTTGCCTACATTCCATTTCACAAGTCGGTGAAATAATAAATTTTTCCACCCAAGTTCACAGACATCCTGAATTCTATCCATGGAAACCTTATCATGGACTCCCCAGGTTAAGAACTCTGGCCAAGGTACTTAATATGCTGCCACATTTTGCAAGCCTCTAGGGAATCAAGAGAAAACCAGGTCAATACTTTATTTTGAATGGATTCTAATGTAGCCTCTTTTCAAGCTTTTGCAAAGAAACCTGAAGTATGCAAGGAGGTGGGGCACGAGCTGTTTTAGGTAAGCAGCATCGCCAGAAGTACTGAAGAGCTTTATATCATTAAAGAGACTCGGCAATATTAGGTTAATGACGTTTTCTAATCTATTACTATTTAGGCCTGAAGGGCCTGACGTCGAATTGAATCTTGTTGAAAGACCGGCAGGGGAAAGGATACAGGCGGGGAGAGAGGATGCCCCTGAGTTTTAACGCCTGCATACAAGAGTCGCTAAAACTTACTCGCACATAACTAGTTCAAATATTGGAAATCATCTTACTCACAGCACACTATAATTTACCAAGATGCTTATAACTTACACACACACACTCTGCAGAGAATTAGACAACTAGCAGGTTCAATAATGAATACAGAGACGAGTCCTACAAGAAAACAGGGAACATTTTCCCTCCCTTTGAGGAAATGCATGTTGCCTACTGAGCTAATCTTCTGCCTCTCCTGATGTCAACGCAGAGCGAGAGCCATTTACGGCAGGTGCCTTGAGCCTGCCTGGAGGTCCCCTTCGGAATAATGCAGAGACTCAAGGATCCTGGTCAGCCTTTATTGGCCCCAGCTGGTCCTTCGGATGCTCAGGTGTGGGTGGAGGAGCCTCGGCCCCTGGAAAGGAGGGGACCTACTCTCTCCGCAGGAGGCGGCGTTGCCTGCAGCCCGTCAGGGATGGGTGGTGGGGAGACCCGTTTACCTGGCGGCGAGAAGACCCCGGGGCCTTCTCCAGGTGCGAGGACAGCTCTGTCGCTCCCGCGGGAAGGACCGGCGAATCCGCGCGGCGGTCTCGGCGAGGACGGCAGGGGATGCTCCGCAGCTCCCGCACCGGCCCGGCGGGTTTTGTGGTTAGCAAGTTCCTGCTTCCGTCGCAGCGACGGAAAGTTTACAGCGGGGGCAGGGCACGTTCCTGCCCTGCAACCCGGAGCTGCTTCCCGGCCACATAAGCGCGTGCTCCCCGCGGAGGCTCCCGGCTCCTGGCCTCCGGCCCCAGTGCTGAGTCCTGCAGGGAGCCGGCGCCCTCACCCCGCTTAGCCACACCGCGGACCCCCGGCTGAGAGCGCTGCGAGAGGCACTGCGCTGCTCCCTGCTGGTGGCCCGAGGGTCTGCAGCTGAGCCCTGCCTCGCGGAGGCCGCAGCCCGCAGCCCGCGCACATAAAAATAAACACGGGGAAAACGTCAAACAGTTCAAAAATATGCGGTGACAAGTCTACCCCTTACCCCCGTGCCCCAATCTCCTAATCTTCCTCCGCGGAGGCTGAGAGCAGTTTTTTGATGTTCAAGAGCTTACAGTGCATCCTATTAGGGGCATCGTTCTGAGAATCCTCTTTCCATATTTGGAGGATGAAGTCCTCAATTAAGACGGCAATTCTTGGGTTAAATATTATGTGCAAGACAAACCTCAAGGAAGGTATTTGGCTTTCTGCAGGATTTATTGTTTGCAGGTAGGATAATAATGGTGAAAATGCTGTTGTCTGTAACATATATTAAAATTGTATCCCTAACACAGCATAGTGCCTGGTACACACCGGGCGCTCAGTAAATATTTAACTAAAATGTTTTTGTTGACTGAATGAATGGAAAAGAACTGCATAGGGAATAGGTTGTGGAAGTTTCTAAATCACTGCTGGCCCCATCCCCACCTCCACAAACACACACACAAATGCAACATTACTAAACGACTGACACTTAATTTGTCATGTGGTCTAACCTTTGACAGTATCTTCACCTCTGTGTTGAAAGACCTTGGAGACCTGAAGCACTATGCAATTGCAAGTAAGTCTAGGCCTGTAGGCCAACAGCTATAACCTAGTCATAACCAGTAACTTCAGGAGGATTAGGTTGACTGAGAATGCTTGTGAGCAATGGTCCATTGTGTGAAACTAACTCTACTTGTAACCAAAGAATGACTCTTGAATTGCAAAGTCGCTAAAGCTTGGTTTGAAAGAGTCAGCAAAGAAAAGTAAACTCCAGAGTAATTTCCCATTGCAGTGATTTTCCTGATGCAACAAGGGACTGATCTGCAAGTGTGTTTTATGTCTACAGATGATACACTTCAGGGTTCAGGGTGCAGAGCTATCACATTTTAAAAATCTGTCTACATGGGGTAATCCATGCTATTTACTAAGTAGACCTTTCCAATATTAGAAACTTCATATTCAGTGCTTTAATACAATGAACCTCTTTTCTTTTTCTTTTTAGAGACGGAGTCGCACTCTGTTGACCAGGCTGGAGTGCAGTGGCGCAATCTCGGCTCATTGCAACCTCCGCCTCTCGAGTTCTAGCAATTCTCTTGGCTCAGCCTCCTGAGTAGCTGGGACTAAGGGTGCACGCTGCCACACCCAGCTAATTTTTTGTATTTTAGTACAGATGGGGTTTCATCATGTTGCCCAGGCTGGTCTCAAACTCCTGAGCTCAGGTGATCCACCCGCCTCGGCCTCCCAAACTGTTAGAATTACAGGCATGACCCACCACACCCAGCCTGAACCTGTTTTCATTGAAGTGATGTTATTTTTTCAGTCATGACAGTGAACAAGGGACATTGATTAAAATAATGATTAAAGAAATATTTTCTATTGATATATGTTTAATTTATAATTTTTATTTATTCTTTTTTTTTTTTTTTTTTAGACAGAGTCTCTCTGTTGCCCAGATGGGAGGGCAGTGACGTGATGTTGGCTCACTGCAACCTCTGCCTCCTGGGTTCAAGGATTTCTCCTGACTCAGCCTCTCTAGTAGTTGGGACTACAGGTGTGTGCCACCACGCCTGGCTAATTTTTTTTTTTTTTTTCCAAGACAGGGTTTCACTATGTTGGTCAGGCTGGTCTCGAACTCCTGACCTCAAGTGATCCACCCACCTCGGCCTTCCAAAGTGTTGGGATTACAGGCGTAAGCCACCGCGCCAGCCTAATTTTTTGCATTTTTAGTAGAGATGGGGTTTCACCATGTTACAGGATGGTCTTGATCTCCTGAGCTCGTGATCCACCCACCTCGGCCTCCCAAAGTGCTGGGATTACAGGTGTGAGCCACCATGCCTGGCCCATTCATTCATTTTTTGAGACAGGGTCTTGCTCTGTTGCCCATACTGGAGTGCAATGGCACAATCACAGCTCACTGCAGCTTTGATCACCTGGGCTAAAAATAATTATCTTGCCTCAGCCTCTTGAGCAGCTGAGACCACAGGCACACACCACCACACCCAGCCAATGTTCTTAATATTTTAAAAAAATTTTAACACGGAGTCTCGCTCTATCGCCCAGGTGGAGTGCAGTGGTGCGATCTCGGCTCACTGTAATCTCCGCCTCCCAGGTTCAAGAAATTCTCCTGCATCAGTCTCCTGAGTAGCTAAGATTACAGGATCATGCCACCATGCCCAGCTAATTTTCGTATTTTTAGTAGAGTCAGGGTTTCACCATGTTGGTCAGGTTGGTCTTGAACTCCTGACATCAAGTGATCTGCCCACCTTGGCCTCCCACAGTGCTGGGATTATAGGTGTGAGCCACCACACCCAGCGTTTTAAATTATTTGTATAGATGAGGTCTTGCTACATTGGCCAGGCTGGTCTTAAACTCCTGGGCTCAAGTGATCATCCTGCCTTGGACTCTCAAAGTGCTGGGATTACAGGTGTGAGCCACCATGCCTGGCCCACAGGCCAGGAGAACCACAGTGGTTCACCACTACACCTGGCTTACTTAAAAAAAATTAATTAAAAAAACCCTTTAATTTCTGGCCTTATTGAGTCATAACTTAAAAATTATATCCATTGTCATTTCATTTCCTGAAGAGATTCTTGATTCTCTTCTCTGAGGGATAGAAGTCCCATCTATGTGGAGTTAGATTTTTTAAAAAGTAATCAAAAATGTGTTAAGCACCTGCAGGGGAAATTAAAGACCAATAATACCAATTGAGATCCACCTTCAAGATGTTCATAGTTCAGAAGAAGAAAGAGTCAAGTGAATCAATGACTGTATAAACAATAAGTGTAATGAAGGCCAGGCTCACGCCTGTAATCTCAGCACTTTGGGAGGCCAAGGCAGGAGGATCACTTGAGCCCAGGAGTTTGAGGCCAGCCTGGGCAACATAACAAGAATCCATCTCTACAAAAAATAAAAATTAGCCTGGTATGGTGGTACACCCCAGGCAGGGGCTGTAGTGAGCCATGATAGCACCACTGCACTCCAGCCTGAGCAACAGAGTGAGCACTTGTCCCTGCCCTCCCCAAGAAAAGAATAAATGTCATTCCTTCCAGTGAAGGAAGGAATTTGATAGAAGATGGCAACTAAAAAAGCTCAGAGAAGGGACATCTGATCTCAATTTCTGGGAGGAGGTGTTTAAGTAAATTATCGAAGAACGAAGTTATTAGCTAGATGAGGAAGAAAAGGCTGAATATTTCAGGAATAGGAAACTGCATGACCACCAGGAAATTCAGCCTGTTAGAAGGGTTACCAGTGTACACAGAAGAATAGAGAGAGAGGCTGGGGTCAGAGCAGGAAGGTTTTCATATGTTAAATCTTAAGCTTTATCCTAAAGGCATGGGGAGTTCCTGAAGGTTTTTTGTAGGGCAGCGACAGGTCCAGAGACCTAACTAATATTCTAGAAAATTTTCTCTACCTGCCACAGGAGGGATGGATTGAAGGACGTGAGGCCAAGGCCTCTCTTCCAAGAAAGGGAAGTGATAAGGCCCTGAAATGGGCATGGAGATAGAAGAGAAATTAAGAGGAGAGTCTCTCCAGGATGTAACGATTGGTTGGATGTAGTGCTGACAGTAAGCAGGCTTCTGGCTTGGGAGCCTGGTTGGATGGGAGTACCAGGTCATATAAAGACACGGGAAGAGGAGCCAGTCTGGAATGGACAGAGGCATGATGAGTTTTGAAAACGAGTCCTAGTTTTATCACTTACTAGTTGTGTGACCAAGAATAAATCACTGAACTTTTCTGTGACATTATGAAATGTAAGTCATATAAAGTAACTTAAAGTAGATACCACTTTTTTAATGCAGGTCTAACATACAGACCTGTAGTCTTATAAACTCGTAAAGGCTGTTCAATTGCTAGTTATTACATATTCAATAATACAGTTTGCTGCTTATGTAGAAGGGATTTTAAAGGTGCTAAAAGACATCAATCTCAAATGTTTCCTAGCTTTAAAGCTCCTTCAGCAGACTCCTTACGTTATATAAATGCTCATTTAATTTTCTTGCCACCAGACTGTAAGCTTCCTAAATACAGGCACTGGGTCTTGTTGAATTTTTTATTGTTAGTCTGTATCACGTGCCTAATACATTACAGGTTCCCAAGAAATGTTGAGCCAGTGAAGGAAGGAATTTTGTCTTTATATATTCTTTTTCTGAATATCGCTTTATGGATATAGAATTTGCATACCATAGAATTTAACCTCATAAACTGTACTCTTCGGTGGTTAATATATTCTGAGTTATGCATGCATCGCTACAATTTTAGAACATTTTCATCAACCCCAGAAAGAAACCTCATAACCAATAATAGCCTACTTTTCCCTTCCACCCACCCCTCCTTGTCCTTAGGCAACACTAATGTATTTCTCTCTCTGTCGTGCCTCTCCTGGACATTTCATATAAATGGAATCTACAATATGTGGTCTTATGTGACAGGCCTTTTTCATATTGAATAATGTTGTCAAGGTTAATCTATGTTGTAGCATGTATCAGTATCATATCTTTCCCTTATTTTGGTGGAATAAATATTCCATTATATGAATATACTACACTTTATCCATTCATCAGTCGATGGGATAGAATATCCTTTTCAGAATGAAATGTTTATCCAAAGGGAAGCATAAAAAACACCATCACATCAGTATGGACTAGTGTATGGAACACAAGGCAAATATATTTTTATGTGGAAAAGGGGCAATAAGAGCCAGAATGAGTGACTCTCCATCCCTCACCCCTTTAACCTCCTCTCTCACCTAACCCTCAAAGAGGGGAATCTGGGAGAGGAAGTAAGGAGTCTCCAGGAGGGAATGGTCTCACTGCTTAGTGGGACCTTCCGAGTCCCATCAGCCTGTGTGGTTTATGTAAACCTCAAGACTAGTCAGACACAACCTTCTAAAAGCCTACCCTGATCTCTCAGGCAGTTTTTAAGTTTTATCTTCATATTCCCAGAGAACACTGTACTTAGATTCACTTGCATTTTTCTCATTGTATTGCAATGGTGAGTAGAGCAAAGAGCATCGGACAGTCCTAAATAGTTCTACCACTTACCAGCTGCTGACCATGGAGGAGTCACCCATTTACAGGCCTCAGGGTTGTTGTGAAAATTAAATAAGGTAAAACGGGAAATGTTTGTGATACAGTAGAGTGGAAGGGACTTAAAACATCATTTTTTGTCAACTGGACACACCTAATATTATGTTTTATGCATATAAAATCTCAAGGGATTTGCTTGTAATTTCTTGATGCAAACAACATAAATATAAAATGAGTAGCAAGGTTCGGAGAATTCCACAGCCAGCTAACTCCTTGATGGCATTGCATTGCTAGGTCTACTGCCTTGCCCTGGCAAAAGTGGCAGTTTACTTTTTGGATTACTTGTACTCCCTCTTCGCCTTTTATTAGTTTCAGAGTGACTTGTTGATAACTGTCAAGGTCCCCAAAAAGCGCCTAGCCAAAAAGGTCCTTTGTTTCTCTTTAAAGATGCGCACTTCTAATACATGAATCAGCATTTTCCATTTTTAAATTTTTCTCTCATTTCCAGCTGCTTCTTTCACCGTCTTCTGGTATTTTTTTGTTTGTCTATTTGGTCGTCCACTGCTAAACTCCCAGCTCTTCAGAATTAAAAATGAGCTTTGCATCCAGGCTGTAGTGGGTTCGAATCCTGAGTCTATCTAGGATTTCTTTCTCCATCTGTAAAACAGGGTTAAAAATACCTAATTTGTAAAGTTGTTCTCACATGTGGGTGTTGAAGAACTTAATAGTGTGGGTGGTGTTTTAAAGGTGACCATGATTACAACTGAAAAGGGCTTAACCTTTTCGCAGTTCTGGCTCCGAGGAGGTCAGGCCCTTTAAGGTGGGGTTGCACCTAATCGCAGGAGTGGGTCTCTCCGCCTCTCCCTCGGGCCGGGGGCGGGGCCTCCTAACCCGGAACTGACGGTTGGGCGTAGCCGGCACCGCCCATCCGCGTCCCGGAAGGAGCGAGCTTTCGGCGCCTGAACCAGTGAGTGAAAGCGGCGTCGTCCGCGGGCCGCAGGTGCGGCAACGCAAGCGTTATCTGCCTCTTCTCTTAGGGCTCCTCGAAAGGAGGAGGGCGAGCCGCGTGCGTTCGCGCCGCGCCTCCTTGGCGTTTCTGTTCCCCAAATAGGGCCTCTCCTCCCGCCGCCCAGGCCCCAGCGTGGACGGGTCGCGTCAGCCCCACAGATTAGTTTCGCCGCGGCGCGCAGATTCTGCCTTGCCTCCCCGTCCCGGTCCCTGGCCCCTGCTCTGTCGCCCGCCGCCGGAGCGGTGACAGCCCGGCCCGCCGTTCTTCTGCTGCCACCGCTGCCGGCACCATGGGCAGTGAGCAGAGCTCCGAGGCCGAGAGCCGACCCAACGATCTGAACTCCTCAGGTCGGTGTCCTAACCTCCCACCCTCCTCCAGCCCGCCCTGTCCGCTTGCAGAGCGCGGGCTGCCTCCCAGCCTACTGGGGTCTGGGACGGCGGACGGGAACGCACAGAAAGCCCTCATATCATGCTACTAGGGGAAAAAAAAAAGTCACCATCTGTCCTGGCCTCGATTCCCCTAATGGAAGTGCCTGTGACTGCAAGCTAAGCCAGTGTGGGCGCCGGTGCCCATTTATTTTCAAAACAGCCGTTTCTCCCAGCTACAGCCTACTGTTTAAAAGACGACCTAATTAATTTTTGGCTCTAGTGCGCATGGCTGATGTAGTGAGATTTGGCTCACACAGTGGATGGATTATAGGACCTCTAAGAACAGGCAGTTTCTTAAAAACAGGTTTTAGAGGTTTTCTGAAGGGGTATGTGATAGGTATCCACTTGCTTTGAACCCTTGATTGCAAAGGTCTCCAGAAACAGATTTTTCTTCTCAGAAGGTGTCTTGGTCCCTTTTCTAATATTGTAGAGGTTGGCCAGACAGGCTCCGGTGTTTTCCATTGTTGTCCCCTGTCCATGATTTTTAGATTCCTCTAAGCGTTTGAGAAAGAATGGGAGGATTATTGTGTTTGCAATATAGTGAGTGTTCAATAAATAAAACAGCTGATGTTTAATTGAGGACCATTTGCTGCTTTTTTTTGTTACCCACACACTCAGCTGGCAGTGCCTTGGATAAACTCCGGGATTGCTAATGCAAATTGGTTAAATCCGGGGCCTAAAAAGAGTCTCCGATTTTAGAAGTTCTCTATTCTTTATAGGCTCTGTAATTCAGAAATAGGCAAGCTAATAGATCTCAGGGTGTTTCACACTGAAGTGTGCCCTTCAAGACTAATTCAGACCTACATTCTGGGGGCTGGATTGGGGCAGCTTTGAATGGTGAGCAGCATCTACTAGCTTTGCTAAGTTTTTCTATTTCCTTGGAAGGCCCAGAATATCATATCTGTTATAACAAATATAATTATGAACACTTTCATTTTTGCCTCTGTGGCAGGATAGAAACATATTTTTGGGAGAAGAGGTGTGGCATCTTTTTAATATGTTTGCTTGCCGATGAACCAACAGCATTCACTCATTTCTGATGTTAGAATTTGCCTCTTCCTCTGTGCCAAGTACTTTACATATATTTACATGTAATTTTTGCAGTAATCCCATTTTACAGATAAGGTAGTAGAGGCTGGCAAGAATGTTTTGAAGTCCCGTTTCCTCTGGCATCTGGGGAAGGAGGAATCACACTTAATTTGTAGCAGGAGAAATTTCTGGCATGGCTTTTGTAAAATGTTAAGTAAATTACCAAAAGTGATTAAGAAATATTTCTTGAAAAGCAGCAGAGATTTTCCTAAAACAGTGAATGCTAAGTCTCGGGAGATGAGCTTCCAGGAGGCAAAGCAGTTCTATGGCATCCCTGGATTAACTTTTGAGATATGACTATAATGAGCCTGAGAATATTACCTTCTAGAGAGTAAAACACTTTAAAGATTCATTGTTGCCTCAGTCTGGAAGATATTTGGGGGAGGGGATGATTTTCGGTCTAGGTAGTTCTTTATAATTTGAATCACTTCCCTCTAAATAGATTACATTCTCCCAAGGAACCTGAATTGATCTCCCTCTTTGTCCGACCTCCAAATGTCTGATTTTTGCCTCAGCCTGGAATGGACTTACTGGCTATTTTTGCCCTTCTTGGACTAATGTTACAATTTTAAGAGTGAGGGTCTGTAGTCCTACCTACTCAGGGGGCCAGGTAGGACGATTGCTGGAGCCCAGGACTTTAAATCCAGCCTGGGCAATGTAGTGAGACCATGAATTTTTTTTTAAAATTAATTTTGAGACAGTCTCACTGTTGCCTAGCCTGGAGTGCAGTGGCATGATCCTGGCTGACTACAACCTCTGACTCCTGGGTTCAAGCAATTCTCATGTCTTAGCCTCTGGAGTAGCTGGGATTACAGGTGCCTGCCACCACTCCTGGCTAATTTTTGTATTTTTAGTAGAGATAGGGTTTCACCATTACTCAAGTGATCTGCCCACCTCGGCCTCCTGAAGTGCTGGGATTACAAGTGTGAGCCACCGTGCCCAGCCACCTTGACTCAAAAAAAAAAGTGAGGAGGCTGAAGCCTCAGGAATAGGCCCATCATTTGGGGTTGAGACAGGGTTTTTTCTGGACTTACTAAACATAGCTGACCTGATGTGGTAGGGTACATAGACAGCTTTGCAACTACAGTGTCGCAGAGATGGGCCTTGTGTGCCATTAACTTACAGATCTCTAATTCCTTTGCTAACTGCCTCTACCTCTGTTGACTTCGGGCAAGTCACAGCCAAATTATGTACCCTTTATTTCTCATTTTAGAAATAGGCTATATATCAAGATAGCAGGAGATTTAAAGGAGAAAGTAAAAACAATCTGTCTATACTTTTGTGTGCTGAAAACGAAAGAAATTCATTCATATTATATAATCCTGTAATGGGCTGGGTGCAGTGGCTCATGCCTGTAATCCCAGCATTTGGGGAGGCTGAGGCAGGTGGATCACAAGGTCAGGAGTTCAAACCAGCCTGGCCAATATGGTAAAACCACAGCTCTACTAAAAACATAAAAATTAGCCAGGGGTGGTGGTGCATGCCTCTAGTCCCAGCTACTCTGGAGGCTGAGGGAGGAGAATTACTTGAACCCAGGAGGCAAAGGTTGCAGTGAACCGAGATTGTGTCACTGTACTCCAGCCTAGGTGACAGAGCAAGACTCCGCCTCAAAATCCTGTAATGTCTGGAGTTTGTGGTTGTTGTTTTGTTTATTGAGACTCTTCCTCTCTTACCCATGCAGTGGTGTGATCATGGCCCGCTGCAGCCTTGACCTCCTAGGCTCAAGTGATCTTCCCATCCCAGCTTCCCAAGTAGCTGGGACTACAGCATGCACCACCACACCTGGCTAATTAAAATTTTTTTTTTTGTAGAGACAGGGTCTTATTATGTTGCCCAGGTTGATCTTGAACTCCTGGACTCCAGTGATCCTCTCACCTCAGCCTCTCAAAGTGCTGAGATTACAGGCATGAGCCACCACACCCAGCCTCAGTTGCGTTTTTTTTGTTTTTTTTTTGTTTTTTTTGAGACAGAGTCCCACTCTGTTGTCCAGGCTTGAGTGCAGTGGCACCATCTCAGTTCACTGCAACCTCTTTCCTCTCAGGCTCAAGTGATTCTCCTGCCTCAGTCTCGTGAGTAACTGGGATTACAGGCATGTGCCACCACGCCCGGCTAATTTTTGGTTTTTTTTTTTTTTTTTTTNTTTTTTGAGATGGAGTTTCGCTCTTGTTACCCAGGCTGGAGTGCAATGGCGCGATCTCGGCTCACCGCAACCTCCGCCTCCTGGGTTCAGGCAATTCTCTTGCCTCAGCCTCCTGAGTCGCTGGGATTACAGGCACGCACCACCATGCCCAGCTGATTTTTTGTATTTTTAGTAGAGACGGGGTTTCACCATGTTGACCAGGATGGTCTCGATCTGTTGATCTCGTGATCTACCCACCTCGGCCTCCCAAAGTGCTGGGATTGCAGGCATGAGCCACCGCACCCAGCCCTAATTTTTGTATTTTTAGTAGAGGCAGGGTTTCACCATGTTGGCCAGGCTAGTCTCAAACTCCTGACCTCAGGTGATCTGCCCTCCCTGGTGTTCTGCTGGGATTATAGGCAGGAGCCACTGTGCCTGGCTCCAGCCTAAGGTTTAAAAAATACTATAGAAAATAGTTTGTATAATTTATTCCCTGCCACCCCAACCCCCGTTGCAAAATAGCTCCATTGTATAAAATTTTTTTTTTTAATCACTACACCAAAAACTGCTTTGGTGAGGCAGAGGTACCTAACCTAATATGCATTTCCTAAGCAGTGTAACTTTATTTTCAGTGACTCCTTCACCAGCCAAGCATAGAGCCAAGATGGATGATATTGTGGTTGTAGCTCAGGGCTCCCAGTCCTCACGGAATGTCAGCAACGATCCCGATGTCATCAAGTTGCAAGAGATTCCAACCTTCCAGCCCCTTTTGAAAGGTAAAGGATTGTATTTTGTTTTATCTGAACTTGCTCGAGAGGTTTGTGTAGCCCTACTACTTTCTCCCTATATATCCGTGTGCCTTGCTTTCTCATCTCCTTTAGGTCTTTACTTAAAATGGCATCTTCTCAGGGAAGCCTTTCTTGATTTCCCTAATTAAAATTGCAGCCCCTGTCCCTACCTGTTTTCCTCTATAGCACTTAATTACCATTGACCTACTGCAAATTCCTTTACTGTCTGTATTTCTCTGTTAGAATGTGAGCTCCATGATGGCTGGTATTTTCTCTTTTGCTCACTGTTGAATTCCTACCACTTGAAATAGAACCTGGTATAAGATAGGGACTAAGGAAGTGAATGAATGAGGTTGGAAATGGCCCTTCCTTGTTATACTCCCATGAAAAGATTTTGATTCATATTTGTGATCTGGACAGTGGGTGGACTAGTTCAGATCCATAGAGAAAATCTCCATCACTACTGATACACTTGTAATTAATCCTGGCGGCTTTTTTCTTTTTTATGAGATGGAGTTTCACTCTTGTTACCCAGGCTGGATGCAATGGTGTGATCTCGGCTCACCACAACCTCTGCCTCCCGGGTTCAAGCAGTTCTCCTCCCTCAGCCTCCTAAGTAGCTGGGATTACCGGCATGCACCGCCATGCCCAGCTAATTCTAATTTTGTACTTTTAGTAGAGACAGGGTTTCTCCATGTTGGTCAGGCTGGTCTTGAACTTCAGACCTCACGTTATCCGCCTGCCGTGGACTCCCAAAGTGCTGGGATTATAGGCATGAGCCACTGTGCCTGTTGTTGGCTGTTTTATGTGAGAGAAGAATGTGTGTTTGAGAAGAGAGGTTACCCACCCAATTAGGATGTATTGTGGCAGTTACCTTTTGACATGAAGGCCATAACTTTATAATGTTCATATCTCCATTAAGTAGTGGAGATGATTTTATATTAACTGGTGTTTCTGCTATAAGAGTCTTTCAGTTTCCTCTTCCCTCGCTTCCCGAATGAAGATTAGGAAATAATGAGCATAAGACCCTGGTTTACTTAACTTGGCATAATACAATGTAAAACATCTTACATTATTACCTCGGTTGGTATCCGAGTTACGGCAGCAAAATAAAGAAAAAAAGGAAAAAAAATTACATTTCCATAACTTTGCATTAAAATGCCCCTCCTCATACATATATCATCCCTTTAATTCTTGTATCATTAAATGTGTTTCACTGATTGGGGTAAGATCATGCAGCTGACATATAGAGAAGTTGACCTTGAACCTTCTTCATTGATGTCAAATTCTGTATTACACTGTTCAACACTATTTACAAAACAAAAATGATGCTTTATAGATGATCCATATATTGTCTCATTCTTACCAGAGCTTCATCTGTTTCACAGATAAGGAAATACAAGCTTTCAATTTCTTCCCTACAGGTTCAGGATTAGACTTTAGTAACCATTTTGGCTTCCTTTTTTTTTTTTTTTTTTTTTTTTTTTTTTTTTTTTTTTTTTGCCACCCAGGCTTGAGTGTAATGACGCGGCTCATTGCAACCACCGCCTCCTGGGTTCAAGCGATTCCCTTGCCTCAGCCTCCTGAAGTAGCTGGGATTACTGATGCACTGCTAAATTTGTTTTTTTTATTTTTAGTAGACGGGGTTTCACCATGTTGGCCAGGCTGGTCTTGAACTCCTGACCTCAGATGATCCATCCCCTTCAGCCTCCCAAAATGCTGGGATTACAGGTGTGAGCTACCATGCCCGGCCTACTCATCTTCTTAGTTTTCATGATTTTGAGGAATAATGTGATTCTCTAAAGAAGCCAACAATATAGTAGGGCATGGTGGCTCACATCTGTAATTTCAGCACTTTGGGAGGGTAAGGCAGGAGGATCACTTGAGTTCAAGAGTTCAAGACCAGCCTGGGCAACATAGTGAGACTCTGTCTCTACAGGTAATACAAAAAATTAGCCAGGCATGGTGGCACATGCATGTCATCCCTGCTACTTGGGAAGCTGTTGTAGGAGGATTGTTTAAGCCCAGGAGGTTGAGGGTGTAGTGAACAGTAGTCATGTCACTACATACGAGCCTAGGTGACAGAGCGAGACCCTTTCTCAAAAACAAAATAACCCGGCCAGGCACAGTGGCTCACGCCTGTAATCTTAGCACTTTGGGAGGCTGAGGTAGATAGATCTTAAGGTCAGAAGATGGAGACCATCCTGGCTAACACAGTGAAACCCTGTCTCTACTAAAAATACAAAAAATTAGCTGGATGTGGTGGTACATGCCTGTAGTACCAACTAATCAGGAGGCTGAGGCAGGAGAAGGGCTTGAACCTGGGTGGCGGAGGTTGCAGGGAGCCGAGATCACACTATTGCACGCCAGCCTGGGCGACAGAGCAAGACTCCATCTCAAAAAAAAAAAAAAAAGCCAACATTAATGAAATTTCCATCTTTACATTTACTTGTACAATCAGATTAAAAGACATAGATGGCTTTTATTTTTAGAAATTTAGAGTTGGACACTGTGTTCTATAAACGTCCCTTCTGGAGTTGCATATAGTGCTGCCCACAATCCCACAACCAGAGTTTTCATACCCCTGTTTCGTGTTATTTTCGTCCTCTCTTCTCCTAAACTCTTCTAGACCTGGATGGGACCTTATGTGACCAACCCTTGTCTCCACTTTAGGGAAATACTCAACATAGTAAATAGAAGTTTGAAATATAGTTAATACTTTTCAGGGATTAGCTTTTTAGTCATTTGAAATATAACTGACTTTTGTACAACTTGGGGGTTAGGGGTATTCCCTTTCCAATCATGCAGTAAAAAAATTTGCATATAGGCTGGGTATGGTGGCTCACACCTGTAATCCAGCATTTTGGGAGGCCAAGGTGGGCCGATCACTTGAGGTCAGGAGTTCAAGACCAGCCTGCTAATATGATGAAATCCGTTTCTACTAAAAATACAAAAAATTAGTTGGGCATGGTGGTGTGCACCTGTAATAATCCCAACTGCTTGGGAGGCTGAGGCAGGAGAATTGCTTGAGCCAGGGAGGTGGAGGTTGCAGTGAGCCAAGATCTAGACATTGCACTCCAGCTTGGGCAACAAGAGCGAATCTCCATCTCAAAAAAAAACAAAAACAAAAATCTACCTATAACTTTGAACTTACCCAAAACTTAACTACTAATAGCCTTCTTTTTAGTAGAGGCCTTACTGATAGCATAAACAGTTGATTAACACATCTTTTGTGTTATATGCATTATAAACTGCATTGTTACAATAAAGTAAACTAGAGAAAAGAAAATGTATTAGGAAAATTATAAGGAAGGCCGGGCGCGGTGGCTCATGCTTGTAATCCCAGTACTTTGGGAGGCTGAGGTGGGTGGATCACTTCAGGTCAGGAATTTGAGACCAGCCAGGCCACCATAGTGACACCCGTCTCTACTAAAATTACAAAAATTAGGTGGGTGTGGCGGTGTGCACCTAGAGTCCCAGCTACTTGGGAGGCTGAGGCATGAGAATTGCTTGAACCTGAGAGGTGGAGGTTGCAGTGAGCCCACATTGTGCCACTGCACTCCAGCCTAGGTGATGGAGCAAGACTTGGTCTCAAAAAAAAGAAAATTATAAGGAAGAAAAAGTATATTAACTAATCATTAGGTGGAAGTAGATCATCATAAAGGTCTTCATCATTGTCTTCATGCTGAGTTGGCCGAGAAGGAGGAAAAGGAGGGGTTGGTTTTGCTATCTTAGGGATAGCAGAGGCAGAAGAAGATCCTCATATAAGTGGACCCATGTCGTTCAGACCCATGTTGTTCAAGGGTCAACTGTAATTCGTTTTATGATAATCACCAGTAGGGGAAATATCTAGGAGAAGACTTGGTGTTAAGAGAAGCTAACCTCAGATTTAAAGTCATCGCTGAAGGCTGGGCTTGGTGGCTCACACCTGTAATCCTAGCACTTCGGAAGGCCAAGGTGGTTGGATCACCTGAGCATAGGAGTTCGAGGCTAGCCTGGCCAACATGGCACAACCCTGTCTCTACAAAAAAATACAAAAATTAGCTGGGCATGGTGTTGCACACCTGTAGTTCTAGCTACTCAGGAAGTTGAGGTGGGAGTATTGCTTGAGCCCGAGAGGTGGAGGTTGGAGCAAGCCAAGAGTGCATCATGGCACTCCAATCTAGGCAACAGAGCGAGACTGTGTCTCAAAATAAATAATCACTGAGTGCCCTAAAAGTGAATAATTAATGTGATGCAGTTAATTCAGTGCAATGCAACTGGACCTAGTTGCATTGATAAATGAGTTTTATCTGGAACTTTGCCACCAACTATTATGTTGTCCTGGCTTTGTTTTTCCACCTCTTTGAGCCTTGGTTATTAAGAACACTGAGAATAGGTGTGGGAAGGAGGAAGGTTAGTAAGGAGCAGGTTACAGGAAGAGGTTATCTGGGATTTGGTTAAGGAAGGTAGAGATAAGATCATGGCTCACTGCAGCCTTGACCTCCTGGGCTTAAGCGATCCTCCCACCTCAGCTTCCAGAGTAGTTGGGACTACAGTGTGCACCACCACACCCGGCTAATTAAAAGAAATGTTTTTTTGTAGAGACAGGGTGTCACTATGTTACCCATGTTGGTCTCGAGCTCCGGACTCCCGTGCTCCTCCCACAGTGCTGAAACTACAGGCATGAGCCACCATGCCCTGCTGCGATTTAAAAAATAATACAGAAAGTAGTTTCTATAATTCATCCCTCCCCACTCCCACTTGATGAGAGTGGTATCAATCTAGAAATGGCAACATGTGGCTGTGGCCAGACTATAGCAAACAAAAAGCCAGTGAGCATTTAAGGTGATGCTCATGTTTCACTTGTGAAGACGAAACATCTTGGGCTGTGATTAGGAAAGATAAGCAAAGGGGAATAATATTGGGTGGAAATGATAAGTATAATTATAACAGTTGTATCTTATTCTCCCCCCCATACTTCTACATAATAGCTATTGTTCTTTCCT